CCCCTCCAAGCCTGAGGAGGGAGGGAGGTCTAGGGTTTACTCTCTCTTGGTTTGTCTTAGCTCATCTTTGATTTGTCAGCCACACCAGATATGATGGAGGAAGTAGGCAGTGTGGGTCTGGAAGAAAAAGGAAATCTGAAATTGACTCTCAGGGCTCTCCAGGGCCCACGGACTGTTATTTTCAAGCAACTCACAACTCTAGAAATGCTGCATTCCAGTAGACTTGTGACCTGGTTGAGATCACAGCAAGGGCTTTGCCTAGAGGCACCCTGGCCCAGCCATCTGATCCCAAAAGAAGGGACGGTTTGGGAAGAAAACAAGGCCAGTCTGGGACAAGGTGTGGCTCAGTAGATCAGTTTCATAGCAGCCCCCGGCCACCACTTAGGGCAAGAGTGGAGCTAAGCTGTCTAGCAATGGAGAGGTAAGAGAACATCGAGGAAGACCTGATCCAACCATTACAATGCCTCTAAATCAGAGTTCCTAAAGGTAATTAGAGCTACGGGTAGATTCAGCTGCTCAGGAGAACAGGAACTTGGAACAGGGAGAATAGTGAATTAAGTGGGTGGATCGCACGGGAGAGACCAGTCAAACTGAGACCCACATCACCGGTCACTCCTTGCTCCAAAGGTGGCCTCAAGCCAAGGAATGTGGGTGCCTCTAGCCACTGGAAAAGACAAAGATGCTCTCTCTTAGAGCTTCCAGAAGAAAAGCTTCCCACGAACACCCCAAGTTTCAGTGCAGTGAGTCTGACTCATAAACAGTAAGAGAATAAGCATGTGTCTTTTAAAGTTTGTGTTGTTATAGCAGCAATAGGAAACTAATGCAGATGCTACTCCAAATTGCCAATAAAAAGATGCCCAGAGAGGGAGTGCCCTGGCAGACACACACAGCATCTAGAAGCAGAATGGACATGAGAAGCATAAACTGCAGGGTGCAATCCTTTATTTGCTAGAGACTTCTGATAACTTTGACTTCTTGAAGACAGCCTAGGTGTCAAGAGTTAGCCAGAATTTGGCCTGGAGAGGCTGAGGTCAAAGGTCAGTCTGGGCTACAGTGAGTTCAAGGTCACTGGATGATTTAGTGAGACCTTTCCTTTTTTAAAAAAGAAAAGGGCTGGGGTTCCAGCTCATGGCTGAACACTTATCTAGTACCCATGAGACACTGGGCTTAAGCTACAGTACCAGAAGAACATAAGGGAGGAAGGGAGGGAGGGAAGGAGGGAGGGAGGGGAGAAAGAGGAAGAAGAAAAGGAAGAAGAGAGGGAGGAAGAAGAGGAGGAAGAGGAAGGAGAGGAGGAGAAAGGAAAAGAAGAGGAGGGAGAAGAGAGAAAGAGGAAGAGGAGAAGGAAGAGGAGGAAGAGAAAGGAAAAGAAAGGAGGAGGAGGAAGAGGAGGAGGAGGAGGAGGAAGAGGAGGAGGAGGAGGAATAGATTAAGTTGTGTGGAAAGCCTCCAGAGCTGTGGGAATTGTCCTGTAGGCTGGGGAGACTGGGAGCCCCCTCCTCCAGCTACAGATGTCTCCCAGATGTGGTGGGCAAAACACTGGAACAGCGGCGCAAAGTGTGGGTGGGTGAGGGCGAGAGGTCTGGGATCTGGCGCGCTGGGGACCAGGGGCCGCACCGTCGGGGGACCGGCTGTTTGCGGGCAGGCTGGGAGGAGCGCGGGCGGGGCCGGGGGGAGGGGGCGGGTGTAATCCGGGCGGGGCAGTGGTGGGCTCGGGTTACTTCCCTTTAACTGCGGGGCCAGGCGGGCGGCTACAAGGCAGGAGCAGCTCGGAGCAGCGCGCTGTCCTAGGCAAGTGCGGGGAGGTAGCCATGGACTGTGGACGTTTGGACACTGGGTGTTGGGCTTGGCATCCCGGGCGCGGGAGCCAGCTGCAGCTTCTGCCCCTACTCAGATGGGTAAACTGAGGGCCTGGAGCTGCTGAGGCTGTTGGAGTGGGTCTCCGAGGGTGCCAGCGGCTCGTAGCCTCCAGGTGTCTGCAGTGCTCCGAGGGAAGCTCTGGCCTTGGTGACAGAAGATGGCCTGGCCTGGAGAACGGAGGGCGGGGGGTGGGGGTTATGGAGGCGGGGGGTGGGGTGGCTGGAGCCCGGGAACACAGGGTGGTAGCTGGGGCCTGGTGGCCAGATTCAAGGGATAGGGTGCGGTAGGTGAGGGACACATAGATGACGGATCCGGAGGTCAGAGGGTACAGAATGGCTGAGGTGTAGAGGACCTGGGATGGCTCACACTGGCCCCTGAAAGTCACAGAGCAAAGACACAAGTTTCTGCTCTACAGTCCCAGTCGGGTTAGAGTGGCAGCCCTGGCCCTGGGCCCCAGCCTCTGTGAGGAGGCGGGAACTAGACTTTATTCTCGTTTTGCTACCTAGAACTTTGGTGCTGTGCTGGTCCCATGCATAGGCATGCCTCTTGGATGCGAGCCAGGTTAGAGGTGGCCGATGCTGCTGCTGCGGTGGCCTCTCAGGAGCAGCGCTAGTGGGAACCCAAGCTTTTTCGGTGGAGGGGGTCTTTCCGAGCAGAATACTTCCAATAAGGCAGGCCGCCTGCCCTGGAGAGTCTGGGCTTTGGTGACTTAAAACTCAATCCTGGTCTGAAGATTCCAGTGACGTGTGCCATTGGGAGAGTTCAGGGCACTTCTGTGGCTGACAAGACTGAGGTCTAGGGATGACAGGTGAACCTGTCAGGACCTCAGCCAGTTTATTTGTGAAAGTGGAGCTTGGAGGAGGTGGCCTCCTACCTCTGTCAGTGTGGGTGGCCAGTAAGAAGGAGATGGGCCAGCACCACACCGGAAGACTGGTCACAATTCCCCACGGGGGAAGGGAGCTTTTCCTACATGGGACAGGCCCAGGTACAGGAACTAAGACTGTGGCTTTGATGGATTGTGGAATCCCTGAGCAATGAGCTGTAGAGCCTAGGTTGGCCTGGATTTCTAGGCAATCCTCACGCCTCAGCCTCAGCCTCTGGATTTGACTGTGGTACTCTCCCGCCACTCCACAGGATTTGAACCTAGGGACACATGCATAAGCCCTGCAGAGTACCTGAGGGGCCACTGCAAGTTGATTGCCCCGAAGCCCTTCGTCCCAGAATCCCAACAGGCTGGCACTCACCTCAGGCTGAGTCCAGTCTTGAGGGAGCCTATGGTAGTCTCAGCCATACCTGTGAGGGCAGGACAAGGGTCCCCTGCAGAAGTGTGTTTGTAGCTGCCTCTGCTGACTCTCGAGTATCACTTCCCAGAACAATTCCAATTCCTGATCATGGTCTGAGGGAAGGGAACCTGTCCTTCTGTGGCCTTTAAAGCTACTTCCATCAGAGAAAGTGTGGGGCTCTAGGATTAGTGCACTTCAGTCACCTCATGAAGTCCCTCTGTCCCTGCCCTCTGGAGACACTGCCCTGGCACACGGAGGCAAACTTGCCATGTTTTAATGCTGTTCCCACGGAATGGAGTGTCCAGAGCTCCCAGAGGAAGCACCCTGGGGATTGGTCCAGCCCAGCCCAATCCAGCTGCAGCATGGGAATAGGCCATCAGCCAGAATGGCTCTGTTGTGGGGCCTGGTTTTATCCTGGCCCTACACACTGCTACTTCAGAGTGGGACGAGAGGCTACACACTATCTCTGAACGCCCTGCTTGCCTAGCCTCACAGTGCCTACACCAGAACTCAGAGTGAGAGCTCTGGAGAGGAATCCATGGACTGAGATGTGCTATGGAGATCAAGCTACCTACTGTGTGTGTGTGTGTGTGTATGTGTGTGCGGTATGTTTTTGAGTGGTGTGTTTGTGGGTGTATGTGT